TTTTGTGAAAACTACAGATCGTCCTCACACATTTTTGCATCCTGTCCACGGACAGTCGGATGAAGCACATTATTGGTGTTCCTACCTTTCTGGTAAAAGGGAACAACACTGCCCTTTTTCTCTTGTCATGTAGCATCAATTAAAAAAAAAAATCACCTTTCTACTGCATAGAAAGCCAAGTTTTATTTAAAGCCTATCTTGCCAGCGGTGAATGAGACTCAGCAATGCCAGCAATGACATGGATCAACAGGATTGTCTTTCAGTTTTACATAAATTACACTAATACTAATGAGTAGGGCTGCGCAATTAATCAAAATTAAATCGCATATGGGTTGTTAAATAAACAGAAGATTTAACTGCTTTCATTAATTCAACGTGACTAATAAACACGACTACGACAATATATTTATCCGAGTTAGTCATATTATAATTTTTTATTATAATAAAGTATATAACAATGCAATGCTAATCGACATCTTTATCACTGCTTAGAATACTATGAAATATGTTGCGTGCCTTATTCTGTGTAAGAAGCCACATCATCTCACAGAAGGATTTATTTAAAACACACGAATGACATTATGAAGTGAGTTTGGAGTAAAAACATGTTATTAAATGTGGTATTTTCTCGTGCTTTCAGATGGAACAGCGTTTACTACACAGAGCCGTAGTTCACTGATAAGCTATGCAAAATCGTGTTCATAATCGCAGACGGTTTAATCGCGCGATTATGAAATCGAAGAAATCGTTCTGCGATTATGAAAGCTGTTTGTTCGATTTCATAATCGCGCGATTAAACCGTCTGCGATTATGAACACGATTTTGCATAGCTTGTCAGTGAACTAAGGCTCTGTGTAGTAAACGCTGCTCCATCTGAAAGCACGTGCTTGAGATTTACTACTCATCACAGAACCGGCTTTACTGACAAGATACGCCTGACAATCGCATTCGATTAATCATGCAGCCCTAACTAATACGTTTTAGAGAGTGCTCTAAAATAATTTGTTCTCTTACATGTGCAACAAAAGAAGCAACTTTGGCATCACTACTCAATATTTTCTCATCAAATCTTTCCCATCTTGTGTACGCAGTATTGATGTTTACAGTTGTTGGTTTTTTTTTTTTTTGGGAAATTTGTAACTATTTGGACTTTAATGCTTACTCTTTTTTTTGCAAAAAAACAAAAAACAAACACACAAAAAACACATTTTTGTATGATTCAAATCATACGAATTCATACAAAATTGCCAACTCATAAAACAGTAGACCCATGAGATTGTGTTGGATTATCCTGTTGTTTCAGCTGATAATGCACAATAATATGTGTTTCCCTGTCTATTTTTCACTTTTTGCATCACCAAACAACACTATGCTATTAGCGTATCTGTATGTGGCAGCCAACAATGGTAAGAATTCTCTCCAGCATTTGTGATTCACTGCAGGTCACGTAATTTCAACATGGCGATATACACTGAGAGGTGTGACCCCACCCTACATAATTAAGACTATTTTTATAGAAAACTGTTATGAGTTCAGTCTTGATTTCATGTGAGTACAGTGCACCATTTAGATGACTCTTCACAAAATGTATTTCTCAATGTGTAAGACTTTTTAAATGAGCACCAAACTATTGAATGCACATTTGAGATTTCCAAGACCTATGACCTATCGATTGAAGACTTTAATCTTCTGCCAGTATGTGATCTGCATGTGTACCACACAGCTGTGTATCAATCTTGGATAAGTCTGATCGTCTTCACTGAACGATGCCACGGGCAGAAGCAATCAGCTGTTACATCTGAAAGCAATTCTAATTTGCAATGGGAAAATCAAAATGAAGCAGGATAACCTTTACTATGGAAGAGATCCCAGCATGCTTGCTAATCACACACCCTCCTTTTCCCTTCATTTTTGCTTGTGGCACCATGCCCACCTCGTGCCTTCTGCTGGCAAAGGAACGGTTTCCTAGCAATCACTCATGTGCATTAATAATCCAACAGCACAATCAGAAATGTACAATAGCCTCATACTAACATCTCATGCCATTGTGTTCAGAAATGGGCTGATTGAGAATGCTGATTTTAGATTGCAGGTCTCAAAAAGTCCATAAAAATCTCCTCTTGCATGGAATTCAAACCAGGACAGCTGTATGAAGTCTATTAGAGGCATTGTCAGAAAGATCCTACAACTCAATATGCTTTCTGTTTATCCACATAATCTATTGCTCTTGCAATACAGCATTTATAATATCAGATTGTCAATTTTCCCTGAAAGAGAATATTGCATGGAAAGGAAATGATGAACATACATGCTGTTAAAAAAAAAAAAAAAAAAAGG